TTTCTCGGCCCTCCCCTGGTTTCTCTTCCCCCGCCCTTTTTTTTTCTTTTCTTTTTGTCTCCTTCTTCGGTTGCTCAAACCCTGTCTGCGAAAAGAAAAGAGAAAAGAATTCCATCTCCTATCGCCGATATCATACCCACTGATTCTTGCCATTCTTGGGGTGCACTCTTGTCAAAACGTCAAAGGCTCCCGTTCCGACCTTGCCGAGTCTTCCCATCACGATACGACCACTTGGCGTTGTGAGATCATCCCAATCGCCATCGAGCACCGCGTCCTTGAGGAACGCCAGGGTCGTCTCGAAACTCATCTTGGTAAACGGGCTGACGTTGCCCTTGAGTCCGTTACGGTTGAAGGGTGAAAATCCGCCGTTCCTCGTCATGTAGTCGCCAATCAAGTTCAGGTGGCGATTGTCGACACTGATGCCGTGACCACCGAAGACGTTGCTCAACTCCTGGATGATGTTATTCCGCGCCGCCTCAACTCCGTATGTTCGCAGGACGGCAGCAATGTCGTTGGTCTGAGTCTTGTTGGGATTGATAAAGTCTCCATAGCTCTGCATCGCCACCAGGTTGACGCCGTTGGTGTGGATCACTGGGATCTTGCTCGTCTCGCCGGTGCGCACATCCTTGACCGTCTCCTCCTCCACAAAGGTGCAGTCACGAATGCCTTCAATCTTCTGCACCAGGGTTTTTCGTATCGCGTCTTGCACCACATTCAGCATCAACACTTTGGGTATGCTGGCATCAAACTCGAGAGAGAAGTCACACCAGCCGCCTCGCACCTCGTCGCATTCGAATCGCGAGACTGACTTGACTCTCTCCATGACGTCCGCCTCCCGAGTCTTGTTGACTGTGGCCTTGTTTGCCTTGTCGGTGCCCTCCTCATCCTCGCTCTCGGGCTCCGGACTGCCGCCGAAACCCTCATCGTCGGGAAGTTCGTCATCGATGTCTGGAGAAGCCTCCCGCTCCATCTGTTGCTGGATTTCGTCGTCGTCGTCGTCGTTGGGACCGTAGGACACGGCTTCGGCACGGTTGGCCCTCTGTTTGGCATTGGTGGCGTCGTCGTCTCCCTCATCGTCGTCATCATCATCCTCATCGCGTACCCTCTCGGCATCGGGGGCAGCCATCTCCACATTGCCAGCCTTGGCACCTACTTCGGGAACAGCACCGTTGTCTTTGTCGCCTCTGGCCTTGATCTCCTTCTTGATCTGTTTCTCGAGCCTGTCCAAGAACTTGGTCGACACGACATTGAGCACGTCGGACTTCTTGATACCATAGGTATCGGTGTAATCAGTCGAGTCGAAGAACTCCAGACGTATGTCAAAGGTCTTGGCTAAGCGGTAGCCGGCACCCTTGCCAACCCTTTCCTTGACCGTCACTTTGTCCGTGACGTGGGAGAGTGGCAACTCGCTGATTGCCTTGGCAAAGCGTTCGAGCTTTTCAGTGCCCAGCTCGGCATTGGCAATCAGGGTCATGGCAGGGGTGGAGATGTGGTCACTGGCTGTCATCAAGATTTCTCGCAGACGAGGGATACCTAGCGTGACGTTCTTTGCCGAGTGACCAGCCAAGTGGAAAGTGTTCAACGTCATCTGTGTGGATGGCTCTCCCACAGACTGTCCGGCAACAATGCCGACAGCCTCGCCGGGTTCCGCCAGCGAGGCGAGGTACTTTGTGTGCAGTAGGATTTCGGCATACTTGCGGGCGATGAGGTCGGTTGATTTGTTCTTGTCTCCCTTTTCCTTGAGCAACCCGTCCTTGTTCTCCTTGATGTACTCGGTAACCTTTTCGTAGAACTTCTCCGACGTTGCAAAGGCATTACGGTTGGGGTTCATCTCGGCTGTGATGGGGTCGCGCGCATGGGCATCATTTGCTTTGGACTCCTTGAGGGCCTTCTTCATATACTTTTGCGCATAGTCCTTGGAGGCAAAAATGTCCTGATCCCAGCCTCGCTCATCGATGGACAGCTGTGCAACCTCGGAAGCCCGATTTTTGAGCACAAAACCGAAGTCGTGGAGGTATCTCTGCTTGGTAATGTCCAGACCATCCTCTCCGTACAAGAACTGAACGATGGATCCGTCAGAATCTCTGACCGAGGTATCATAGGATACCTTGAGACCTTCCATACCCTTGATCAAACATCGCTGGAGATAACCGGATCTCGACGTCTTGACAGCTGTATCGATCAAACCTTCGCGGCCGGCCATGTGATGGAAGTAGTACTCCTGCGGCCTGATACCAGTCAAGAAACGGTTGACGATATAGCCACCCGCACGGACGTTGGTATCAAATGGCCGGAAGCAGGGCAGCGTTTTTCCACTGACCATCACAGGTACTCGACGACCCTCCAAAACTTGCTGACCGAGATTGCAGGAAATAAGGTTGGCATTGACACCACTACCCTTTGCACCAGAAATAGTCATCGACTGCATTTGATTTTTGGGGAAGTGCTTCTCGAGGCCATTTGGCAGGCATGCCTTGGTGACGCCACTGGATACAACCGAGCATGCGGCATTGAGCAACGCGTCGAAGTTTTCCTGCTGGCTGTCATTTCGCATAACAGCTTCGAGACGCTCCAAGAGCACCGGGTCACGCTCATCAATGTCACCTTGCTTGTCCAAGCTCACAAATTTGAGGGCCGTCTCCAAGCCAGCCTTGGATGCTGCTTCTAGCTGCTTCTTCCGATTTTCCTCACCGACCTGTGTAAGTCGCAAGTCATCCATGCCGCAGGTGAATGCACGCATGTTGAGATACCGGGTCAAGAGTCGGCCCATGCAGCTCAAAAGTTTGGCTGCCGTTTCCGGGCCCCAAGTCTCGTGAATAGAATGGATGAAACCACCACCGCTTGGTCCGAGATGTGCCTTATCTAGAATGCCGTGAATAAATTCTCCATCCACGAACAAGACAGACCCCTCTTCTGATTTGTTGCCCCATCGGTCTGCTGGAACCTTTGTTTTGCCCGTGAGCCACAAGTCACCAAATCCGATAGGCTTGATGTTCTTGAGAATGGTAGTGATGACCTGTTTGCCCGTCCATCGCCGCACGGGTTTAATGATGGCGGGTGGCACGAGCTCAAGCCTGTCCGATGTGATATGGCCGTGTTCCGGACGAAGAGCATTGTAAACAAGCTGCTGATAAGCTCCCTTGTCAAATAGGGTGTCCTTGTTGCAAAGTGCTACCGAAACTGAGAGATGGTCTTGAATCAAACCACGGAGAGGCTCGCCTGCCGTACCGGAGAGGTATTGGTGGTCGGTGTCGGCTAGTCGCATAGCCTCAGCTCTGGCGAGCTCGTTTTGGGGAAAGTGCATATTCATTTCATCACCATCAAAGTCGGCATTGTACGTGTTACAGTTCGCATAGTGCATACGAATGGTTTTTTCGCCTGGAAGAACGCGAACACGGTGTCCCATGATGGACGGCTTGTGCAGAGTGGGTTGACGGTTCATTAGGACAACGTCACCATTGCCGAGATGGCGGTGGACCTTCTTGCCTCTCATGCCAATCTGATTGTGCGTCGTTGGGGCAAGGAGTTGGTTCGCCAAAGCGACACGGTCTTCCTGCGTCTTCTTCTTCAGGTTGATGATTTGGCCATTCTCGTTCTCGATCGCGGCCGCTCCTGGCCACTTGTCGGGGCCATTGATGACAGCCTGCTGCATTTCTCTGAAGTTGTGGCTTGTCACAGGCTCGGGATAGGTGAGCTTCTTGGCGAAGACTGGAGGCACACCAATCTCACTAGTCTCAATGTTTGGATCTGGTGAAATGACACTTCGGGCAGCATAGTTGACACGCTTTCCCATCATATTCTTTCTGAAAAGACCTTCCTTCTTTTCCAATTTCTGCTTGATACCGTCCTCATTGCGCTTGCCAGCGGCGCCACGAACCGGGTTCCGGTCCTTGTCGATCAGTGAGTTGACGCAGTCTTGTAGCGCCACACAGGCCTCGTGCAATTCTGAAAAATTCCTGTTGCGGCCCTCGAAATCTGCGCCTGCTTTTGCGGCTGCAGCAATCTCGCGATGTATTTGAGCAACTTTGGCAGATGCATTAAGAATCTGTTTGTACAAGGAGTTTTGTTGAGCCTCGGCAATGCCACCATCGCCCTGTCGAGCCTCAGGGCGGAACTTATTCGGCGGGACCATGATGGTTTGCAGGAAAAAGGAGGCGGGCGAGATGGTCTTGGAAGACTTGGTTTGCGGCCTGGAGTTATACAGCAAGGCGACCATATCCTGCTCCTTCTCGAAGAGGAGCTCGAGACGAGCTAGGACTTCGCTCGTGCTGACATAACGATGTGGCAGAACGCCATTCTTCTTTGGCTTTGGTGCCTTGAGGGCAGCATCGGCCATGACCACATCGCCGTTCTCGTCCAACTCCTCACCATCTCCCTCGTCTGACTCTTCCTCCTCTTCCTCCTCGAAGCCGACATCGTCCTCTTCCGGCGCCGACTCAACGTCGGCAACACCCTCATCTGTTTCGAGTGTTTTTTTCTTTGGTGCAGCCTTGGCTTGCTGCCTCATAGCCAGGGCATTGCTACGTTTAAAGCTGCCCTGAGCCATCTTGGCGGCATCTTTCGAAGACAGGGTCTTCTCAAAGATCTTGACGAAGCGGTCTTTGCGGTAATTGGGTGAGATACCTTTGCAAGTCTGGCAGTTTCTTCCCTTGGTCATATCCTTCAAGAAAGCCTTGATCAGCTCTCTCCTCGCCTCGTAAGCACCCTCATGCTTTCCTTTTCTGATCTCTGCAGTGCTCAGCTTATGCCTCCTGATGGCCTGTTCCGTATACTTCTCCCGCAGAAGCGTCATATGGGTGGCATCTTCGACATCATCGTCTGCATCGACTTGATCAACGCCCTCGATATTTTTGGTCTTGGGTGTTATTTCTTCCACGAGGATGGCCTCGTCGAGTAAACCGAACTGGAGCAGGCGCAGTTTGCACCTGTAGAGCGCCAGGTCGGCGGGTCGCATGCGGAATCGGTTGCAATAGGCACACTGAGCTCTCAGCAGTCTCATGACCTGATCCATAAAGACTGGATGATACACGGGTACGGGCAGATCAATGTGACCGGCATGGCCTGGACAGCTCGATTGGTTGAGGTTACATGTTGTACAACTGCAGAATCGTGGCGCATTAGAAAGCTGAACAGATGGGTAATGTGTTTTCTTGGGTCTGTTGGGCCTCGGTATAGCTTACAGAGAGTCACCCCAAGCTCCAAGGGCAGGATCATATAGACCACCTGGGGTGGGATTCAGAAGACTGTCAAAGGTGGTGGGATTCTCGATCCTCTTGACAGAAATATTCTTGATCTCGGCGGGCGTCAAAAAGTCAAAATCGACGCTGTCAATGACAGACGAGACAGGCTGGGAGATATTCATGGTGAAGGTGTTTGGCGACCGCGAAAGTTGGGAGGTCGCAGAACACCCAGGTTCAGAGGGCGAAACGTCAGGTCGTCGCCACGGACGCTGCGAAACAATGGTGCTCTAGCACTCGGTGACTTTTCTCTACCCTCAGGCCGGCAAGTGGCCTAGACTGCTCAGTGTTGCATGCCCCTCCCTATCGCAAGAACTTGAAGCGTGTATGCAGCGCGGGACTGGAAAGAGAAGGGAATGGGGGGGGGGGAAAAAGTTCACGGGCGCATTCCCTTAACATCCGGCTCTATTCAGCAAAGTGGGGTGCAAAAAAGCGAGACTGGTGAAGTTTGAGAGCTGCAAAGCCAAAGAAAAACTTTAGCGGTCAAAAGCGGCAGAAAACCATGGGGTCTGCCTAGTAACTAAGTGCCCGCTATCTGTGATGTAGGAATGTAGGTAAGGTACCTAGTGCGTATTCCGTAGTGTCTGTGTGGCTGCCATGTTGCAGCTCGGGCAGGTAATGGGTAGGTATGTAGGTAGTAGGCTCCCCTGCGCTCTGCAATTCATGTTAGTAAATATCGTACCTAGGCTGTTTAACCAAATCTAGCTCACCTTGACATCAACCATCCAAGCTGTTCACCCATCCATATTTCTGTATTTTTGCAGCACCACTTGATCGACATCAGGCGCGGGTTCCATCTTTCTCACAGGCGCGCGCAATCTGCTGCCTTGCATCGTGCCCACTCCGAGGGCATTGTCCGTAGGCCAAGAGAGCTGTCTTGCCATTGTTCTCCCATCGCGTCCCACCTCCACGAACAAACTTAGTCGTTCTCGACAGCCTCGCTCCAAACGAAGCCTGTATTTTGGCTCAACGTACCCAAAGAAACCCGTGCCGCATCGCCGTCTTCCTCAAGCTGTGATCATCCGACTTATCAGTCTGGTCACCATCTCGTTGCTTCTCGATAATGGACCGCCACGGCTCACCTGCGCTGGGCCCCCAGAATGCCTCCGCGCGCGTTTCCAAAGGTAGCGAGAGTGCGGCAGAGAGGCTCGCCGCCCTGAAGGCCCGAGTCGCCGCAGCCATCAATACAAGTTCGACCAGAGGCCCAGCCGGCGCTGTCCCAGGTCCTGGTCTTGCTCCGAATCCACCCCCAGGTACGGGTCCGGCACAAGTTCCAGCCAAGGCTACCTCTGGTCTCAATGTCCCACTCCACCCAGCCCTCCTTGGCGACATTGGCGGTTCATCTAGGTCAAACAACAGGTCAAGCCATTCGCAACAGCACAGGTCATCGCAGAACCGAAATGATGGCGCCAAGCCATCTACACAGCCGAAACGAAAGCAGCTCGACCTCTCTGGCCCGCCCCCCGAGGATGTCAAGGCAAACCCCTACTATGATCCCACTATCCAAGGTCCAGCCCCCCGACAACCAAGACAGCTGCAGTTCAATGATCCCGGCAAATACATAGCGCAGGCCAACGCCATCCGTCGACAGGAGAAACTCGAAGAGCTGAAGAAGAAGATTGCTGCGAGTACACAGAAGGCTGCCGACGAAGATGCCGATGTGCAGAAGAATTTTATGGTGGATGCCCCGCCCGAGGTTGAGTGGTACGACGAGGGTTTTGTCAAGGACAACAATTACGATTTGATCAACATGGATGAGATACACGCTCTCATTCAACATCCCGTCCCGATTGACCCGGACAGCGCAAAACAACTGAGCGTAAAACCCATGTATTTGACTGCCAAGGAGCAGAAGCGTGTGCGACGCTTGCGCCGTGCGGCAGTCATGGCTGAGGAACGTGCCAAACAGCGGCTCGGCCTACTTCCTCCCCAGCCAAACAAGGTCACGCTGAACAACATGTTCAAAGTCCTTGGCGACGAGGCGATTCTGGACCCTTCTGCAGCTGAAAATCGCGTGAGGCGCGAAATCAACGAAAGAAGAGACAAACACCTTCAGGAGAACGAGGAAAGAAAACTCAGCAAAGAAGAAAAGGTCGAGAAACTTGCCCGAAATCAGGAGAAAGATGTTGCCCGCGAGGTGCATTTACTCGTATACAAGATCAATAATCTGTCCAATGGAAGCATACGCTGGAAACTTTCCAAGAACGCGGAGCAGTTGGGCTGTACGGGAGCTCTCATATTATGTCCCAAGTTTTGTCTATGCATCTGCGAGGCAGGCCCATATGGAGCAAGAAAATATCGTAAGCTTGTAGAGGATCGTATCGACTTTACCCAAAACGCGCCAGACAAACACAAAGAAACAACCCACGAACTCAAGGAGTGGCTAAAGGCTACAGATGCTGAGGGCAATCTGAAAGATCTATCGGCCAACGAGGCGAGGCTTGTCTTCGCTGGAGAAGTCAAGGCCCAAGCTTTCTCGAAATTCTCAAGCAGGGTGTGTGAGACGGAGCAGGACGCACGAAGTTTCTTGGCGAGGGTCAAGATGGAGAATTTTTGGAATCTGGCCAAGAGTATGGCCTAAGCCGAACCAAGCGCATAGGGCGCAGAAGAAAGCAACCGAAAAGAGAGGCGACAAACATCCTTACCTGGTTTGTCAAGCTTCAGATTTGTGGCGGGTTGTCTGATATTGAACCCATGAGTCTATACTCCATTAATGCTATGTAGATTCTGCCATCTTATATAATGCATTCACAAGATTTACATTGTGTCCATGAACAGAAACAACCCAAAAACTTATCAGCAAACGAAATCATGTGAAATATGCGTATGGGCCTGTAAGTCGTCAGACGGCCGCCCTCTTCACCTGATTCTACCACAAGACTGTGGAGGGAGATGCTTCGGAGTGAGGCATGACGGATCGCATGTGAAGGGAGTGAACCAGTAGACAAAGGCTAATCTACAACATCGCGTCCGGGAAGTTATATCCAACATGTAATACCGGCCGGACCACGAACTTCTCCACACCTTGCTCGTACTCTCACGCGCCCTCAATCTTGTACGCCGAGTGCTTATCTCTCTCGAAACTCGGTTGTTTGGCAATATGGTTCTTCCATTATGCCCCATATGCGTCAAGGAGAACTCAGCCAACAGGCCGGCTGAGGCTACCCATTTTCGACCTCCTTGGATTTTGCTCTCTCTCTCTCTCTCTCTCTC